CACTCACCTCAGCTTCCCAAAGGCGCGGGATTACAGCCTGAGCCACCGAGCCCGGCTCCCTTCCCCTTTTATCCTCTTTATGTTTCTTCGGGGACACTTAAACCTCCTAAAATGGCCAGGTGCAGTGACTCATGCCTGTAATCCCAGCACCTTGGGAAGCCAAGGCAGGAGAATTGCTTGAGGCCAGGAGTTCAAGATCAGACTGGGCAACAAAGCAAAACTCCATCTCTACAAAAAATGAAAAAGTTAGCTGTGGTGGCATGCGCCTGTAATCCTCAGCTACTTGGGAGACTGCGGTGAGAGGACTGCTTGAGCCCAGGAGAGCCAGGCTGTGGTGAGTGGACTTTTGTGAATAGGCCCAGCTCTCAGAATAGGTCTTGCACACAAGGTAACGAATAGATTCATGTACTCTTTGCAAACCTTTTCTCTCCCATGAATTTACAACTACCCCTCATCTCAACCAAAATCCATGAAGATTCCTAAAGCCCTTGTCAACACCGAGTGGCATACATCCTGATGCCAGGGAGGAAGCGCCACTGTGTTCACATCACTTCCCTCCTTCTTGCAACCCTTCATTTCTGGTGGGCCATGAGATGTCTCCGCTCTCCAGGGTTTCCAGCATGGAAGCGCTGTGATTTCCAGAAACAGTGTCAGTTTAATTAAATTCCACAGAACCATTCCGTGGTCTCAGAGGACTTCATCATAGTGGGATTTTTACCTTGCTTATTAACTGAAATCAGCATTCTTGTCAGCCGAATGGACTATTTCCAAGGTGACAATTTCTTTCCTAACAAGTTCCCACAGCCCCGGACAGTGTCTGTAAATCTATTTGCCACACAAGCCAACAAGCACAAGGAGGATGTGTGGTCCTAGGAGGGTGTGAGCCTCTTTTTTTGGTGATTAGATAAGATCCTAAGTATATTAATAGAGTTTACTATTTAAAGAAATCTTTCAGTAAAGTGAAGAATATACTGAATATCTCAGAGAGACAAGGTAGGCATTAAGTTTGTTATTAAAATCTACATCTGACCCGGAGCGGTGGCTCACACCTGTAATCCCAGCACTTTGGGAGGCAAAGGCGAAAGGATGGCCTGAGTCCGGGGGTTTGAGACCAGACTGGGCAACTTGGCAAGACCTCATCTCTACAGAAAAAATTAGCCAGGCATGGTGGCACATGTCTGTAGTTCCAGCTATTTAGGAGGCGTAGTGGAAGGATCACCTGCACTGCAGCTTGTGTGACAGTGAGACTCCAACCCCCCCCAAAAAAAGTCTACAGCCTAGGCAACACAGAGAAACCTCTTCTCTACAAAAAATTTAAAAATTAGCTGGGTGCTAGCACACGCCTATAGTCCCAGCTACTCAAGAGCCTAAGGTGGAAAATCACTTGGGCCCAGGAGTTTGAGGTGGCAGTGAGCTATGATTGGGCCACTGCACTCCTGCCTGGGCAACAGAGTGAGACCCTGACTCAAAAAAAAAGAAATCAACGTTCTCTCGGTGCTATTTTACCTTCCTAAAAACATGCCCAACTGGCCTCTCCTCTCTCCTCCCTCCAGTCCTCTGGACCATGCAGTGAGCTTCTCATCTCTGCTCGGTTCCATGTCCCTCAGTTCCCATAGTGACAGGAGGATTTGCAGAATGCAAACCTGAACACATCTCTCTCTGCTTAAAGCCTCAGAGAGGTGCTGGGCGCAATGCCTCACATCTGTAATCCCAGCACTTTGGGTGGCAGAGGCTAGAGGTTTGCTTAAGCTCAGGAGTTTGAGACCAGTCTCATAGCCAGACCTCGTTTCTACAAAAAAAAAAATTAGCCAGGCATGGTGGTACACACCTGTAGTCCCAGCTATTCAGGAGGTTGAGGTGGAACGATCACCTGAGCCCAGGAGGTAGAAGCTGCCACGAGTTGTGATCATGCCATGTATTCTAGTCTGGGCAACAAAATAAGACCTCAACTCAAAAAAAATAAATAAATAGCCAGCCTCGGTGGCTCAGCCTGTAATCCCGCGCCTTTGGGAGGCTGAGATGAGTGAATTGCCTGAGCACGCGAGTTCGAGACCCGCCTGAGCAGCGAGACCTCATCTCTACAATAAATCAAAAAATCATCCAGGCGTGGTAGCGCATGCCTGTAATTCCGGCTACTTGGAAGGCTGAGGCGGAAGGATCGCCAGAGCCCAGCAGGTCGAGGCTGCG